GTGTGTGTGTGTGTGTGTGTGTGTGTGTGTGTGTGTGTGTGTGTGTGTGGTGGGGTTCTAAATGGAGCTGATTGTTTTTCTTCCAGCTGCACGTTTCTTCAGGAGTCTACAGCGAGCAAACATGCATGAAAATTCTGATGATTTTTTTTTTTTACACCAGATGTTCTTCCTGAGGCTGGACTCGAACCTGCAACCTCAAAAACACCAGACTGATTGAGTGAAGATTGAGCTGATTATTGTGCGGAAATGTGTGGGTTTTTGCAGAAACTGAGAGAAGACATGCTTAGACATTAATTTGCATTTTAGCCCAAGATAACTTAGGCGATAAAAGAATAATTAAGAGTTGCACCGATTGTCTCATTTTTTGATAACAAAAAAAATGTATTATTTTTTTTTAATTTCAAGAAACCAAAGACTGTTTTCTTGTGATAAAATAGAACTGGTTATCTAAAGATACCTCACTAGTTAACACTTTATCTGAAGAAAATGAATTATACACTAGTCAAAGCAGTAATGTTCAATATTTTTAGCTTCAGTGTTGTTTATTATTTGGTATCACTGTCAGGACATAATGATCTATAACAGGTGGATCAAGGCTGGATTTGATTTTCAGCTTGAATCGGCTGATTTCTGCTGAAGAAAATCCCCTTTTAAATAATAATTTTGAAATCATTTCTGATTATCACAAGAAAATGAGTTTTCTTCAGTCAAGTAAAAACGATAATTTATCTCAATATAAGGAGATTTATGTTGACATAATATGAATTAAAATTTCTAACCATGTCCTGTCTTTGCGTCTTCCGCTGTTTCAACAGGGAAGTGCTGAGAATTTCTTCTTTTTTTTTTCAGACCTATAAGAGAGGTTAGTTTAGCCCTCTAGTTTACATTATGAGTGTATTTGTAGATGAAGAGAAATGTCCATTTTATGTCAAATCCTCAAGCTGTCCTGAGTAACATTTTACCACTGGAAAAAGACATTTTTTGTAGTGCAGCTGCTGGATTCTGTTGCTAAGCAGCAGCTGGAGTCTCACCTCATGAGCATCAACAGATGCATTTTATTACTGTGCCCAAACTTCATTTATTCCCCCACTTTTTTAACAGAAAGTGAAGGGTTTGTAAAGGGTTCGAGGAAGACCCTCCAACTGATTCTGTTTGCATAAAGGACACACCTGGCCAGGTGTTCTGTTTCTAAATGTTGAACAGACAGATGTCGGCTCTCATTCACACCCAGAGTCTGTGGCTCCTAAACTGATCTTAGAGAAGCAGCTTCACGTCTGCCACATTTTTCACATTTATGGATGCAAAATTCCACAACTTTAAGAATTAATAAAACAGACTTTGTTTTTCTGCGGAAAACCTGACTTGATGTTTGAAGTCAAATATTTAACTTTACCTGAGTCTGACCTGCACTGTTCAACAGGATCATACAGCTGCCTAACAGATTGCACTTTGTGTAGTTTGTCTACAGAAAGATGTGACCGGTGATCGAGGCCGGCTCTACGCTGGGGCAAGAGGGGGTAGTGCCCCCTCAGATGAATGCCCTGCCCCCTTAAATAAAATCCGCCAATAAATGCACAAGTTGTCTCTCACCTCTGCCTCCTCTGCTCCAAAGACCCGCCTCCTCCGTAAACAACCAATCACTGTTTAGTATGCAAATGAGCCGAGCCACAGCAATGTTCACCTCACTCTGCCTTGAGGCAGGAGGAGGAAGCGGAGCAGCAGCCAAGTTCTCTGCTGCTCAGTCAGTCAGGATCAATATTGAAGCTGTTCAGCCTCTAGTTTTGCAAAATTTCCTGAAAAACAATCACAACAATTGTTTTTACAAAGTTTTTACTCACTTTCCACACCAGTAGCTTTCAGCAGCTCATAGAAAGCTTCGTGTGTCTCTGCATTTCTCCTCTGTGACTCGGTCAGTTCTGAACACGATACTGTAGCTTAGCATAACAAGATAACCCTAACCTCTGAACTTCTGATAGTTTCAATCAAGTAATGCTGCATGATGTAGTTGTTTTACAGCTTTTAAAAAACACTTGTGCTCCTGCCTGAAGCTGCTGTGTGTCTCAGAGCAGGAGAGAAAAGAGACGAGTGATGAACAAGGAAGAGATTTCTGACCAGGTTTCCAATTAAACAAAAAATCAACTATATATATATATAT